GGATAACTCGAGTTGTCACGACTAGACTAGTCTAGACTACACCCTGTGTTGGTCGAGAATTTTTCCAGGTCTCGGCGATAGAAACACAAGAAGATTGGATCCGCGTGCGGGATGCGAGATGTCCATAGGTTCCGAAGTCAAGAGACATGCTGGTGCTGTTCCTTTTGCTACTTCTCGCGGCAGCGTCAGCCGGTAAGCATGTTCGAAGCAAGTACACAGGATTCAATATTTTTAGGTAGTCTACGTGCGGAGAAAAACGACATGTGAAAGGTTTGTACAAAAGTCAAAAGTCCATACACATGCGGTCCGAGAGAGGAAGATACACATGCCCTGTCTGTAGTGCACGCTGTGCGTGTCGGGGTTGGTGTTGTGGAAGACCACAGTAAATGCAGCTGTTGAGTGGGAGGTGCCCAGTCTTCCTAAGCTTAGATGTTTAGGTGCTTGATTTGCATGAAAAAATATCATTTGTTGCTGTGCAAGGCCAGCCAAGCTCTGCAACTCTGGTGTGCAGCTACATTATATTGAGCCAATCCTGCTGTGAAATTCCGTGATACATGTACGTATACCCTTTTCTGGGTGCTGCAGTATATTACAGGGATGATGATATTGTCGACACATGGTTTCCGAAAAAAGAAGGCCAGCTGCAGTATTCTAGATTACAAGAACCTGGTGACGTGCTGAGGATTGGTACGATGCGTTCGCTCGGTGGCACAAGTACCAGGTGGTAGTTTCTTGCAGTCTGCGTTTGGGTGAAGCATGGTTGTACAGGTCCACTTGACGAGCCACACCTCATGCTACCCTCACGCCCAGGTCCAGAGTTTGAAACATTTTCTCTCGACATGGACAGAGGGACCCTGGCCGTAACCTTCAGCGCAGCGATGTCCAATGCTACCGACGATGTAGACTGGACCGGGGTGTCGTTGAGGACACACGTCAACGGACTCGAAGGCTCAGGCGTAACTCTTTGGAATACCCAAGGAGAGCCGGGCTGGGGCGAGACCGACTCTATGGATGCGGGGTTGACGCTGGCAGTGCAGATACACCCGACCGATCTCGACGAGATGAAGGCGGCATATGTGGGCCACAATTCCAGCTTTACTTGGTTGACCCTGAGGGGAGGCTCGTTCGTGGCGCTGGACGATCGGGACGGTAATGAGCCCGTGTACGGAACGCAGGTGGTGGGACACCAAGGGGCTTCGGTTTCAGAGTTGGTGGAGGATACCACAAGGTTTGTACCTTTGTAGACACACATGGGGTATTAAATGGATTTCTCATAGGTGCAGCAACGTCGCCCGAACCGTTGTTGCACTACAGCTCCACTTTATACCGGATACGCACTATCCAGGCGTACACGGTGTTGGTGTTGACCTCGACAGTGAATCCAGCTGCCGAACTTAACCCCTTCGCTCCCCCCCCCCCCCCCCAA